ACTTAAATTCTAAAAAGAACTATAAGAAAAGTGGCAAGACATAAATGGAAAGATAAAACTTAAGGAAACAGCAACATCGCTGAATAGACAGAAACTGGTTCTTGGCAAAAATTAATAGTAAAACAGACTGGTATATCTCATTAAAGTAAGAAAGCATAAATAATTCTAGAAATAAAAGAGGAGACAACCATGTATAAACCAATAACAATGTATTCTTGGAAAAATGTAAGTTATTAAAAAAATGAAAATAGCAATAAACAAAGTTTTTTCTAAAGTAAAAAATCTATCACTCTAAAAGAAACAAAGACACAATGCTTATAATGTTCGGTTTTTCAACAATCTCTTCTGAAACACTTTACACACATACACACACAAATTAGAATTGTGTAGTCAAAACTTATATGTCCACCACCTACACTCTGCAATTAACACTAATTTTCTTTCACAATTAACACTAATTTATCCATCTAACATTTGCCCTTCCTTGTGCACATCAATGTTTTTATATCTTTTATTGGACCCTAAAGCATAAAACAGGAAAAACAGATACGAAGGAAGACTTCAAGGTACCAGGCCTTATATTTACAAGTCAACTAGGCATATTTAATACTTGTCTAAAAATACATTTGGGAACTCTGATATGCTGAAAATAAAAATATACACATAAAGGAGATGTCCGAGATGAAGCGTGGTTTGCCTCCTTTCATTCATATATTTGGGCACTGTTGTAAAGATGACAGTGATCCCATTATAAATAATGGTTAAAAATGCAAGCTAGTTCCCCCTAACTTCCAAAAAACAGAAGTGAACAGGATGTTTCAAAAGTATCAGTTATAAAATGCATATCTTTTTATAACTGCAAACTTTAGTCAGGAAACATTACATATATACTTAATTTATCAGAAGGAAAGTAAAAGTAATCAAAGTAACAATTTTTCTAATGGACAACTTGATTACTGGGAAAAATTGATCATCTAGAAGAAAATAAATTATATTGATTCTCTGTACACAATTAACATGCAAAGTTAATGAATGTTAACACTTTAAATGAAAGACTGACAGCTTATAGGAAGTAACGCAAAATTTCTTGAAAACCAAGATACAATAGTAGTCACGGTTTTTAGATATTTTTATTGGAGAGTCAGATATACAGAGAGGAGAGACAGAGAGGAAGATCTTCCATCTGTTGATTCACTCCCCAAGCGGCTGCAACGGCTGGAGCTGAGTCGATCCAAAGCCAGGAACCAGGACCTCTTTTGGGTCTTCCACATGGGTGCAGGGTTCCAAGGCTTTGGGCCGTCCTCCACTACTTTCCCAGGCCACAAGCAGGGAGCTGGATGGGAAGTGGGGCCACCAGGATTGGAACTGGTGCTCATGAGATCCTGGTGTGTGCAAGGCGAGGGCTTTAGCCACTAGGCTACTGCACCGGGCCCAGTATTCATCACTTTTAAGAAAGATTTGTCGGGGTAAGGGGGTCTGGTAGGGCCTGCACTGCTTGTCTCGGGTCCTTGGCCTGCCAAGCAGTGGGTACTGGGTCCATGAACCATGGGGCGGAGGGTCTGGGGTCTTGTTCAACCTTTGTGGTAGGCACTGGGATTGTGAGCCTCAGGGATTGAGGTTCCAGCAAGGCCTGAGTCACTTGGCCCAGGTCCTTGACCAACCTGCGTGGTGGGTGCCAGGTCTTTGTGCTCCAGGGGCAGGAGTTCTGGCAGGGCTCAGGCTGCCTGGCCTTGGTCCTTGGCCTGCCTAAGTGGTGAGTACTGGGTCTGTGAGCACTGGGAGTGGGGAGTCTGGCAGGGCTCTGTCACTTGGCTCAGGTCCTTAGCCCACCTGAGTGGTGGGTGCCTGGTCCATGAGCCTCGGAGGTGGTGGGTCCAGCAGGGCCAGGGTCACCTGGTTAGGGTCCTCAGCCTTCCTGTGAGAACTGATCCTCCTCAGTGGAAAGGATGGAGTAGTGGACAGCTGGCCCAGATCCATATGGAGGATATGGCAGCGCATCGAGCTCTGCAGGGATATCTGTACCATCCCAGAGGAAGGAGGACAGAACAAACTGGACAACTACCCTTGCCAAACGACAGTGAATATCTGGGCAAATGGAGACTCTTGAGGTCGACTATGTCAGCCAGCGGACAATGAAAAGGTGTTCCCTCATCCTTGGGTTAGTGAGATCGAAAACATTTCAGAACTAATGAAACCACCTGGGCAGAACTGTCAGAATATGCACCACACTGAGATCCTGGCTTGATATCCAGTGGCCATTCCCCATCCCTCAGTTCTGCAGCAGCTGGAAGGCTAGGTATGGTTTCTCCCCTTATCCCTCTTCCCCACCCCACTCAAACAAGAAGGAGAAACAAAAAAATTTGGAAACAATGATCACACCCACTTTTCCCTAACCTTTGATCATCCCATTCTGATCAAATATGTTAACAACATCTAAAATGAAAAATTAATTAAAAAAGAAAGATTCGTTTACTTGTGAAACAGAGAGTGAGTAGAGAGAAAGAGAGGGAGATCTTTCCACCTGCTAATTGGCTATATCAGGCAGTGCTGGACAGGCAGATGCCAGCAGCCAGACTCCAACTGGGTATCCCACATGGAGGACAGAAGCCCAACTTGAGTTATCATCCACTGCTTTCTCAGGCACATTAGTGGAAAACTACAATCAAAATGGAGCAGCCAGGACTTTAACTGGTGCCCATATGAGATATCAGCAACATAGGTAGAAGATTTAAACCACCGAGCCACAAAGCTGGCATTTATATTTTTAAAATAAGCTATAAATTTAAAAATTTTTTACATCAGTTATAAAATGATACTTTGCCTTTTGTATTCCTTGATTGTTCTTTGCACATGAGCTAACAGGCCCATATGACTGGTTACATTCAAAATGGATACTGTCATATCTAGTAGCATGTTATTTAACTTCATGGCTTTGTAAATTTCCATTTTTCTTCCTGTTGTTGATTTTTGTACTGTGACTTTTCATTTAAGGGGATGTACAGTAACTGTGAAATGGAGACTAACATATCCAGATGTGAGGATACAAGGTAGTATGCATCTCTATCTCCAGACAAAGATGGACTTACAATGAAGCTGTTTACTATATCTTGACAATAGGATGCTGGACTCTCTGCTATTGTCCATGCCCACAATGATGGGCATATGACTGTGTATGAAGAACTATACTTTAGCAATGATATAGAGAAACTGGGTGGGGGGGTGGGGAGGGGATAAGGGAAATTTTTGGAGCCTATGAAACTGTATCATAAAATGATAATAATAATTGTAAATAAAAAAGATTAAAAAATAAAATATACCTGAATGAAAGATTATCTCTTTAAATTGTTCTCAAGCACAATGTGTGTGGCCATGGGTTGATGCTCTGCACCAGCCTGCATTATCACCTCCCTTTATATCCTTGGTGACAGCACAAATTTCATCAAACATTGATATGGAGAGGAGAACATAATTTTTCCATATTGTGAGAAGGAAAGCTGTTTCTGAGAGACCTGTTCCTTTTTTTTTAAAAAAATTAATTACATTGCATTATGTGACACAGTGTCATAGGCTCTGGGATTCCCTCAACCCCTCCCATTACCCTCCCCCCATGGTGGATTCCTCCCCCCCTTGTTGCAGTATTACAGATCAAATTCAGTTGAGATTCTTTCATTGCAAGCATATACCAAGCAAAGAGTCCAGCATCTAACTGTCCAGGTAAATTCAACGGTTTCTTTGGGAGACCATCTCTGGTCTGAAGGTAGAGCTGGAAGAATATCATACCGATCAATTAAAAGCCACAACATAACATCACATCAACAACTGTTTACAACATTATGGAATCAATTGACATGGTATTGAGTAACCAGTATGTTAAAAAATGCAAGTTCTTAACCACATCCTGTGACTACTTCATTGACATTTCGATTCTAGTTTATACAGAACCAGCTTCTATACACCTTTAAATGGCTATAGGGTACTATTCAGCAGTCTTGTGTCTATTTTCATTTTAGTATTTAGCAGTTTATAGTGTTGAAGCATAATTCTGCTGAACTTGGCAGTTTTTAGGATAGTCTAAACTGGCTTATAACTCTAACAAGGCATATGTCAACAGTTTAGGTGTAGAACAGTTTTAGGAGGGGTGTGTAGAGAAATCTTCAATACCTTAGTGAGTAGTAACTAATCTTTGTGTGCTACCTAGTAAAGTATATGCGAATCCACACTGCCCGTTTCCTGTCTGGTTCTAAGTATTTCCGTTGATCTCTGTCTATTCTAATTTTGTTTGTTTGTTTGGGGGGGAGCTCCGGAGTGACCCTGATGGTCATTGCAAGAGAGGAAGGGGATCCAAAGTTGAAACTAAGTATGAACCAGAGAAAGCTCCTCTCCCTAGTCCCGAAGGGAGTGTAATGTTCTGTTTCTGCGGACCGTTTAGGGCTCCTGGCTGTTGTTCCGATGGCCTTGGATCCTGCAAGGAAGGATTTGGGCTTCTTCCATCCCATGTGGTAGATCCAAACGGAGGTGGATGCCCTCAGAGTTCTAGGCCTCCAAAGGTACTCCAATTCCCCGTGGTCTCCTTGACAGTTGGGATGTAGTCCTTGGTGCCTGTACTGATAGTCCTTGGTGGGGATCTGGGAGTCTCCAGGGTTGGGATACAAGCCTCCTCCTGTCCACCTGCTCCACTTTGGGGTGCCCCCCTGCTCTGTGCATATGACCTACTGTTAAGAGATTGTTAGGATTGCTTCTTGATTCCCCCATATGTCTTTGTAGTTTTACGAATATCTAATGCTGATTCGAATCTGTTGTCTAGGAGTTACCTGTTATGTTCTTGATAGGTTATACTTCACGTCATCCTCACATATTCTAGGAGATGGAAGATTCTGAGAGACCTGTTCTTATAGTATTCAGCTACTATCATTAGGACCCCCACTTTTTATGCAAAACAACTTGAGTTCTAAAACAAATAACTTCAGTTATTTAAGCACCACACACTGTATGTAACATACCTTATTGGAGTTTTCTAATAAAAACTGGAATGTATTCTGCACAGCTTGACATGTTTCCAGCTCCGTCCGGCTGAAGGCTATTAAATAATCCTTGAGGTGGTCATACACATTTCCATCAAGAGCCTATAATAAAAAAGCAAACAAAAGCAAAAAATATGATAAAACTTGGCTCCTATTACAAAAACTGCATGTGCAGTTTAGAATCAAAGGGGTTGGCACGATGATTCAACTAATCCTCGATCTGCCAGTGCCAGCATCCCACATGGGTGCTGGTTTGGCTACTCTACCTCCCTTCCAGCTCCCTGTTTGGGCCAGGGAAAGTGGTAGAGGATTGTGCGTTGCCTTGGGCCCTTGTACCTGCAAGGGAGATCTTGAAGAAGCTCTTGGCTCCTTGCTTTGGATAGGTTCAGCTCTGGCCTGTAGTGGTCACTTGGGGAATGAACTAGAGGAAGAAAGATCTTTCTGTCTCTCCTTCAATTAGTAAACACGCCTTTCCATTAAAAATAAATAAATCTGTAAAAATCAGTCATTAGTAATAAGTGGACAAAAGATACAGATTGCTACAGAAGAATAAATACAAATAATTATCACTTAGAAAAATGCTGAGCCTTTCTAATTAGACAGAAACCAAAAAAGATAAAACTCATTTCTGCTAAAGCTGTAAGAAAATGAAACACAATTTGGAAATAAAATGTATGGGTTCTGATCTTTGTTCAATTGCTTATTATCTTCTGCAACCAATTCCTAATAGAGAAGGCATAGGAATCAAATGAAATACTCTGTGTGAAGTCAGCTAGGTTGGGAACAGATTAGATACCCAACCATTAATACCCATTTTTCCTCATCCATTATTGGTAACATTGTACATTACAATATACTTATTAAGGAGCATGTGAGACTCAGACTCAGTTCCCAGCTTCTATCTTCAGCCTGCCCCAGTCCCAGCCATTGCAATCATTTGGGAAATGAACTAGAAGAATTTCTCTCCCTACTCCATCTCTTTTTGTCTCTCTCTTCTCCTATCACTCTTTTAACTATTTCCTTTTTAGAATAAACAAAAATTAAAACCTCAAATATTAAGCAGCCCTATCCATTTCAAATCAGCTAGGTACTAGCAACAAAATATAGAATAATCTATGACCCACCTCTCTTTTTTCCCTCTCCCTCACTACATTCCCCCCCCTCTCTGTAACTCTTTCAAGTAAAAAAAAATTCTAAAAGTTAGATATTAATACTAAATATAGAAAAATGACTTAGAAATCTTGTTCTGGGGAAGAAATATCCATGTAGTACCTATGAAAGGTACTATTTCTATTTGTTAGGAGTCTTTAAAAACGGGGGAAAAAAAGAGAAAAATCACTAAAAGTTTTTTCCTAAATTTTCTTTTGTCTTTATCATCATCATAGTCACTTTTATTGTTAGAAATGTGTAGAAAGATGGGTTGGGTGGGTAGAAGAGAAATAAGCTGGCTCCCATCTGCTTACTTAAATGCGTACAACAACTAGGCTGGACCAAGGCCTGAGCTGGGACTGCGATCTCAATACAGGTTTCCTACCTGGATAATAATGATCCAACTACTTGAGCCATCGTGACTGCCTCCCTGGGTACATACTAGCAGGAAACCATAATCAAGAGACATAACTAGAATTACAAACTCAGGCACACTGATGCAGGGCATAGCATCTTTTTTTTTTTTTTTTTTAAAGTTTCTTTTTATTTGAAAGGCATATGGAGAGATATCTTCCATCTGCTGGTTCAAATCCACAATTGCCTGCAACAACCAGGACTGGGTTAAGCTAAAATCAGGAGCCTAGAGCTTTTGACTTCTCACTTGGAAGACATGGCTCTAGTACTTGGGCCATCTTCCACTGCTTTCCCCAATAAGTTAGCACTGGAGGCAAGCCACTTAGGACTTGAAAGGATGCTCAGTGTTAAAGGTTTTGGCTTAACCTGCTACAACATCTGGTCACAGGTGTTTTTAAAAAATTTTTTTAAAGATTTATTTATTTTTATTGCAAAGTCAGATATATAGAGAGGAGGAGAGACAGAGAGGAAGATCTTCTGTCTGATGATTCACTCCCCAACTGAATGCAACGTCCGGTGCTGCGCTAATCTGAAGCCAGGAACCAGGAACTTCCTCCAGGTCTCCCACGCGGGTGCAGGGTCCCAAGGCTTTGGGCCTTCCTCCACTACTTTTCCAGGCCACAAGCAGGGAGCTGGATGGGAAGTGGGGCTGCCGGGATTAGAACCAGGGCCCATATGAGATCCTGGCGTGTTCAAGGCAAGGACTTTAGCCACTAGGCCATGCCGCCGGGCCCAGCCACAGGTGTTTTAACCACTGGGCCAAGCATCCCACTACAGAACACCTAAGGAATTATTAAGCTAAGATGTATATAGCCAGTACAGTACATATAGTCACCAAAATAAAAAATGTGAAAGATGTACATATGAAGACTATGTATCAATCATTTTAGGCAAATGAAAACTACAATAGAATATGGGTGGGCATTTGGGGCAGAGACTGAAACGTGACCTTGGCATGCTTCCATCCTCCACTTTAAACCCAGGTTCTGCTTCTAATTCTAGCTCCTGCTAATGTTTACCTTGGGAAGCAAATGCTGGAGTTCTTCCCATCCACATGGGAGACTCAGATGGATTCAGCCTGACTCAGACTCTAGAATTCAGCCTGGCCTAGTCCAAACTGTTACAGGTATTTGAAGAACGCATCAAAAGATCAAAGACCTTTTTTGTCTCTTGGCCTTTCAAATGCAATGAAAAAAAGAATTTTAAGTCTTTATTAAATTATGTAATAATAGATACATACTATCAACAACTACAGTAAAATAAATCTATAGTAATAATAATAATAATAATACAGTAGAATTATGCCAATCAATGAAGGTTTCCTTAAAAATTTTAGAATTCATTCAGTGTATTAAGTCTTACTTTCAATAATTATAAAATGTACAGTTAAGTGACTTTTAGTACATTTACAATGTACTAAAACCACTACCACTATCTAACTCTAGAACATCTGCATCGTCTCCCTAAAAATTCTCATCCCCAGCACATGGGCCATACTTCACTGCTTTCCCATGCAGAGAACTGCATCAGAAGTGGGTAGCTGGGCTTGAACTTGAACTGGTGCCCATATGGGATGCTGGTGTCACAGGTTTAACATGCTCTACCACAACACCAGCCTTGTTTTGCATTGCTTTGTTATTTGGTTTTGTTTTGTTCTGTTTCGTTTGTCTGATTCAAATCATTCATGTTTATTCCTTCATATTAGACATTAGCTTCCTTCCTCCTTATCTGAGGCAGTTGCATGCAATCAGAATGATCTGGAAATATTGAGGGAGAGAAAGAAAGGTCTTCCATCTGCTGATTCAGTCCCCAAGCAGTCAAAACAGCCAAAGCAGAGCCAATCTGAAGCCAGGAGCCAGGAACTTCCTCCAGGTCTCCCACTTGGGTGTGGGGTCCCAAGGTTTGGGTCATCCTCTACTGCTTTCCCAAGCATCGAGCAGGGAGCTGGATGGGAAATGGAGCTTTTGGGACATGAACCAGCACCCATGTGGGCTCTTGGTGGGTGTAGGGCAAGAATTTAGCCACTTAGCTATTGTGTTAGACCCAAAGAGGATCTTCCGAACTCAACAGCTCATGAGTCATAAAGTGCATTCTCTTCAGAGTCTCATAATGAAATCTCATACTTCTGTCCCAGTTGGATCCAAATCATGTCTTTCTTTTTCTTGTGGGTACATTACCTTCCTATTAGTCACTTATTATCTGTTGGTTGTCAGATCTGAGCTCCTTTTTTTTTTTGTTATTTGCTCTGAAGAAGTTCCTGGCTCCTGGCTTTAGATCAGCTCAGCTCTAACCACTGGAGCCATTTGGGAAGTGAACAAGCAGATGAATGATCTCTCTGCCTTTCTTCTTTGTGCCTTTCAGAATCAATCAATCAATCTTTATTTAAATCTAGGAAAAAAGATCTATTTATTTGAAGGAGACAGTGACAATGAAAGGGTGAAAGAAATATTCTATCTATTATTTCACTCACCAAATAGCCTATATAAACTAGGTGATTTTTAAAACTGTTTCAAAGCTACATAAATTCTGGTGACTGGTAATGTGGCACAGTGGGCTAACCCACCACTTATAATACTGGCATTCCATGTGGATGTCATTTTGACTCCTGGCTATTCCACTTCTGATCCAGCTCGCTAATATGCATGGGAAAGCAATGGAAGAATCCCAAGTACATGTACTCATGTGGGAAACCCAGATGGTGTTCCAGGATCCTGGTGGCTACCCGGATTAACCCTTGCCAATGGGGTCACTTGGGAGTGCATCAGTGAATGGAAGACGTTTCACAGCCTGTCTCTCCTTCTTCTGCTTTGACTCACCAGCCAAATAAAAAACTTTCTTTTAAAAATGAAAGATACACAAAGTCAGGGAGTCAGTATTGTGGCACTACAGGCTAAAGCTGCTGTTTGGGATGTCAGCATCCCACATCAGAGTACCAGTTTGAGTCCTGGCTGCTCTGCTTCCAGTTCAGCTCCTTGCTAACATGCCCAGAGAAGCAGGGGATTATGGGCCAAGTGCTTGGACCCCTGTCATCTTCATGGGTAACCAGGATAGTTTCTGGCCCTGGCAGCTATTTGGGAAGTGAACCAGTGAATGGAAGCTCTTTCTTTCTCTTTTGTTCTCACCCTGTGAGTATGTCTTCTAAATTAATTAACTAATCAATTAATTTTAAAAAGCAACCTACAAATTTTATCTCCAACGTATGGAATAATAAAGCTGCATTTCTATAATGCTTACACCTCTAGATGGCATCATTGAGCACCTCACCTACAGTGAAAGCCCTTGAGCATTTCTATGTATTTATGCAACACCACTGTAAATAGTTGGTGTTAAGGCTGAAGAGAAATTTCTATCTTGGGACACACTTTTCATAAATTTTCTTAAAAATGGAAATACATGCCTTAATCTCATGTAATGTATTATCTTAAAAATGCAACTGGATTGTTGTAACCTTGGCTTTGGAAGAGTTCATTGGAGCACTAAGAGTATTTAAACACAGAAAATGACAACATAGATATGAGCTAAAAAGTGAGGCAGTCATT